TCTGAATAGTCCGATTATGAAACTCGAGTCAGATCTTTGATTTCCATGAAAAACATCTGGATTCCAGTTACTCTCAGCCTTAAACACATACCATTCACAGACTGTCTGAAGTATACTGCAGACAAAACTAGCAACAGCCAGAGAAATCCGAAGTTCTGATTTGGCTGGATGATATGTAACTTTTGTGAGGGTGCAGGTTTTTCTCAGTTAGCTGGGAAACAGCTGGAAAAAGTTTAAATGAATCGTTCATTGTATTAATGACATTAAAATTAAAAGATATTGTTTGAGGCAATTATTACAGGGCTCCCATGCGCATGGCAAATCTCAGGAAATACATTTCTCACTGAAATACACGTATATACGAACATAACTTTTTGTGTCTTTTGGTAAATTGTATTTTCTACATATTTTTTAGTTACACTACCATTAAAAAGTTTGTAGTTTGGAAAGATTTTTTCTTTTTACGTTTTTGAAAGAATACTTTTTATTTGATCAGAAATACAGTAAAAACAGTAATATTGTGATATATTATTACAATTTAAAACAAATGTTTTCTCTTTTAATCTTTTAAAATGTTATTTACTCCTGTGATGCAAAGCTGAATTTTAGCATCATTACTTTAGTCTTCAGTGTCACATGATCCTTCAGAAATCATTCCTATATGCTGATTTAGTGCTCAACAAATATTTTCGTATTATTATCATTGAATAAATTAAGATGTGGACGCAACTCTTGTTGAAATCTAGTTGCTCCAGTAGCAGTGACCTCTGCACTCGTCACGCTGAAACGGGAAGGTTATCAGCATATGCGCTTCAGGGGCAAATCAAGACATCATTACCAAAATGATCTCCAAACAGTCCTGGGATTGAACCCTACTGCTATCCAGTGTCATTTTTTATTTTATTTTTATTCAGTTTTACTGTGGAATAAAATATGGAAGCACCGTTTATTCCATTCCTCTTTCCTGGATAGAGTGTTTGGAAAGCTCTCACTGTCCTAAAGGAGAAGACAGAGAGGAAAACAGAGTGAAAGAGAGAGAGAGGGAGAATGCAATAGAGAAAGACGGAGAGCAGGAATTTGGAGGAAATGGATGATGAATGTTTATTAATCTTGTGGGCCTCCCATCACACTAAAAATAACCCTCATGCATTTATCCAGCAAGGGCAATGTTATTGCACATCTTCATGCCCAAGTGTCTGAGGCAGTGCATGGGGAGAAGCATCTCGAAGATTTAGTAAGCAACTATACGTAATAAAGGTAAAATTATTCATAATTACTGCAAGGGACTGGCTCTGTTCCAAAACCAAGTGAACTTCCTCGCTGTCTACAGCCTACATAGGCGCCTGCCTTCTGAGACAGCATGCTAACTGAAATGGAGGCTCATAAGTGACTGAATTATCTAAACAGACAGCAAATTCATGGGTCATACAAACAGCACTCCTTAAAGCAACTGAATGTAGTTTTGTCTACAGTTAAGTGAGCGGAGTTCACTGTCGTAATTACAGTGGATAGCTGTACATATGCATTTGTTTTTACCGTAAAAATGCGCCCTTTTAACTGAATTTCGTACCCACTCACCAAACTCACATACTCCCAGAACAAGCGTTTGGGGAAATAGTTATTCGCCTTATTAGAAGTCAGTTTACCATCAGACTGATTTTAAAACTGGTATTACAAGGTTAAAAAAAAAATAAATAAATAAATACTGTTGCTTTAAGTCAAACACACATATGGTATGAGGAGACAGAACATTCGTAAAAAATGCATGGGAGAAATTGTATGGCTCATTATGGTGTGTGATGGAATGGAAGCCCCGCCTTCAATTTGAATGAGCCAATCGCTTTGGCAGTTTGCACATTCTAGAATCTACATGCACATTACCGGACCAAACTGAAAAGTTACATTTTTATTTAGTTTGATTTCATTTTATTATTTTATTTTATTGTATTTTATTATTTATTTTTGAGCTAAAGTAGTTTAAATATTTAAAAAAAAAAGAGAAAAAAAAGAAAATGAAAAGAAAAAGTATGGCAAATAATAATCAAATAAATCTAAATGTGTTGTACATTTCAATAGCATCAACAACAAATTAACTATAAAATATGACACTGTTACTAGCTACTCTGAAATGATAATACACTATTGAAACGTAACCTTGGAAAACAGTTTTGGAGGTTCTGGTCTTTCCTGGTTCAAGTACATAAAAGATTTTCTTGTTAGTTTCATTCTTGTGTTAGAGTTTGTGAAACTCTAACAAGCACAAATATAGCACTCACAAATTATGTAAAATAGACTACTTTTTAGATTTACTATTTTTAGCCATACTTTTTTGCATTAAAAAAATAAGTATATTTATAAATCAACATTTCTCATGCTTCGTCCACCTTCTTGGATAGATTGTCACAATGCCAATGCTTCCCTTGTGAAGCATACATTCTGCTTTAGAATCTGGCCGAAAGACATTTTCTTAGAAGGCAGCACAGTTATCCTGCCTACCTTTTGGAACAGCAGGGGTGCACTTATGATGCCTTAAATAGTCAGCTTACTAGACTTTGGAATAGAGCCATTAATTCACAAGATTGCAAGCCTGCCTTTTTTTTAAACACTCTTTCTTTGTTTCTCTCTGTCATTCTAATGTGGCCAGAGACTGAGAGCGGTCTGAAGTAGATCGGGCCACTCTGTGCC